TTCTACATGTTGGCCCCCCGAAGTCGCTCTCCAATAAACCCAAATAACATCTAATATAAGTCAAAATTGAGAAACATAAAAAGTCACAATCGGTGAAATCAAATGCACGCATACATATAGGGCGCAAGCAATGAAGGGATTCCTTTGATTATCGCATATTTTTACCGCATGCACACCACGGGTGTGGTCTTTATGGAACGCCGTTTTAGTATTTATACCAACATTTTATCATGTATCATTTTAAATAACAGTCAATCTTATGTCTCTAAATTTTTCGTTTGTTGTTTTTATCTTACGTATTAAGAGATTGATTAAAAAAATGTTGATTAATAAAGATGATACATGAATTAAAATGTTTGTTGATAATTTTAATTAGGCGCTAGTATACACGTAGTCAAATAGACTAAACTGTAGTTCCTGAAACTTCCGCACAATCAGAGATACGAATTAAAATTATCAACAATCATTTTAATTAATGTAACATTTTAATTCAACAATCACTTTAAATAATTCTTGCCGATTTTAACAGCATGAATTCATATGATTGTTGAATTAAAATGTTCTCTGAAAATATTTGTACAATTTTATTCCAAAATTTTACAATGTGCCATTTTAAATAACAGTCAATCGTATGCCTCTACTTTTTACGTTTGTTGTTATTGTCTTACGTATTAAATATGATTGTTTAAAAAATGTTACTTAATAAAAATGTGAAATGAATTATATTGTTATATTGAATGAGTGTATATGAAACTGTATTTCAACAAACAATTAATAACAAACAATTAAATTGAATTGCAAGAAATACTTCGATTAATAAAACGATTTTGTCCAACAAACATAAAAATTCATTCATTTTAAATGTGGAATTAAAATTATCAACAAACATTTTAATTCATCAGTCATATAAATTCGACTATTTGAAAATTGAAGCCGAATATTTTCAACAATCACTTTAATTCAACAAACAAATAAATTTTTATTGTTAGACGTAGTAAAAGAATCTTTTAAAATGATTGTTGAATTAATATGATTGTTGAATTAAAATGTTACATGAATTAAAATGTTTGTTGATAATTTTAATTAGGCGCTAGTATACACGTACCCAAATACACTAAAGGATAGTTCCTGAAACTTCCGCACAATCACAGATACGAATTAAAATTATCAACAAACATTTTAATTCATGTAACATTTTAATTCAACAATCATTTTAAATAATGCTTTCCGATTTTAACAGCACGAATTAATATGATTGTTGAATTAAAATGATTGTTCATAATTTTAATCCCACATTTAATATGAATAAATTTTTATGTTTGTTGAATTAGTTCTAGTTAGTTATATTACTGTTCGTTTATGTATTCGTTTGTTGATTTGTATTGTTAAACTTTCGTTATACACATTGCTATATAATTCATACATCATTTCAATTAAGTGAAGTTTTTTAAACAAACATATTTAATGTTTCACATAAAAACAACAAACATAACATTACGACCCCCTACTATTCATTAATCAAACCCCAATTCCATGCGTGGATTACGTTAGGTTTCTGGGTATGACATTGGATAGTAAGCTAACTTGGGAGAAGCACATTAGCGACTTGATATTGAAATGTGATAGAGCTTTAAACCTCGTCAAATGTTTGTGCTCTACAAAATGGGGCGTCGATGTGGCTACTTTAATCAACATATACAAGTCCCTCGTATTATCGAAAATTGATTATGGATGTTTTGTCTACGGTTCAGCTAGATCCTCTCGATTGTTACAACTTCACAAAATTCAAAATCGTGCTTTGAGACTATGCTTAGGTGCATTCCCTACATCGCCGAGCACCAGCCTCCACATAGAGGCCAACGTCATGCCTCTGCAATATAGAAGAGAGAAATTATTAAACAACTATGTTTGTAACAGAGCATCACATGATAGTCACCGTAATTATAAGATCCTCTTTAAAAATGTTACTGCATACACCGACAGACCCACTATTACTCGTCCACTATCTGTAAGAGCGCAGGAAATTCATCCAGATTTGTTAACAGAAATATGTCATATAATACCCCACAATAAACCGGAAATTCCCCCTTGGAGAAATTTTCCAATAAATGTTGACACTAGTCTGTTGCAGTATGATAAATATGGCACTAACCCTAAATTAATACTTGCACATTTTAATAATATCATCTCTGGAATGAGGCATCACAATATCATATACACGGATGGTTCTAAAACTGAAGATGGCGTAGGATGTGCAATTGTCGTTCAGGGTGAGCACTATAACTGGCGTCTTCCTGATTTATTCATCAGTCTTCTATGCGGAACAATATGCCGTATGGCAAGCGCTGAAGTACTGTGATATGTCACTGGGTTATCGACACTTCTGCATTGTAACAGACTCCTTGTCCGTTATAAAATCGATAGTAAACTGTGACAATGATACGATAACACAATGGTGTCATTCATCTATCGTATACTTAGAAAATCAAGGAAAGCATATTACCTTACTATGGGTCCCCAGTCATGTGGGCATACAGGGTAATGAGGAAGCTGACAAGGTAGCCCTGGAAGCAACCAAACAGGATGCGGTCGATGTACCTGAAATAAAACACAAAGATTTGAAAAATAAATATAATCGTGTAACTGTTTCCAAATGGCAAGATGATTGGGATATGTGTAATACTCACCTTAAAAACATCAAACCTACCATAGCTAAATGGGATAATCCTGCACTCACTAGAACAGACATATCAAAATTAATTAGATTGAGAATAGGCCATACTGCAGTAACGCATACATACCTACTGAAGGGAGAACCAGTTCCTATATGTGCCAGATGTGGACACGAATTAACGGTAGTACACTTCATTTTTGAATGTGGCCATTTAGAACTTATAAGAAGCAATTACAACATTAGTGATAATTATCGAGATAATTTTATTAGTATGTCGCGTATAAATAACCTAATGTCGTACTTGAAGGTAATAGACATGTACAATAACATTTAAATTAGCAACAAGAGCTAATGACCATAGCTGTCGAAGCTCAATACAAAAAAAAAAAAAAAAAAAAAAAAAAAAAAAAAAATAAATCGGGAAATAAAATTAACTGTTGTTTATAATGTTACATTGTAAACTTTCGTAATAAAAAGTAAAACGGCGTTCCATAGGTCTTGGAACCAAAGAATAAAAATCATACACATAATTTATATTATTAAGTCTACAATTTTGGAAACCTCTTTAACAGTCTTCTTACGCATTTTCTTCTTCTCAACGTTATCTTTTAAAACAGCGGTGATACGCTGCAGTCTCAACCAAAATAGGACACATGGTCCCCATACCATATCACAAATATTGAAATATATTTATTATTATAAATACGTTAGTTTAATTAGCTTTCTGTCGCTTTTGTGGGCGTGTCCCCTCTTTTAGTTTGTAGGCGGCCCTGTTAATACAAATCTGTCACTTTTGAACAGCTACATTCCTGGTAGGAGGTAATTTAGAGATTCAGGGAATACCAGATTTCAGAAGCATGTCAAAAAGATTTTGTGGTAAACGGGACCAAAAACAAATATCGTTTGTTCTAATAAGTCGATGGTTCAAAAGAATTAATTCCAACATTTCCTTCTATAGCACTACAGTACCTAGGTACATAAAACTTGAACTAACGAAAAGGTTTGCGGGTAAATATAAATTTTTAGGTTTAACCACTGGTCTTATCGTTCTATCTATTACGGTTATAAAAAAATTAAAGAGGAAATTTAAAGCTTAGGACTTTTGAGCACCCCAAAGGTCCTAATATTTAAATTGTCCCATACTAAAATTCTCAGACCTTGGTTTATTTTTAAAACGTAGGTCTGTTTGCGTCCTCAGTGTCGACCGATCTTTTTGAAATACCTATGAACACAGTTTAAATTTGCATGTTTCATAATATTTGGATTTGTAGAAATAATTAAAGGTACATTATAAATTCTTCGGTTCTTTGAATTCTCAGCTTGGTCTATGTGGATTAACCTTATGCGATGCATTATTAAAAATACCGAATAAGATGATAATAATAACATTTATAAATTCCCAAGCCTTTCATAAAATTATTGGCAAAACGGTATTTGTTTAAAAATATCCTCTATTATTATTATTTAAGTGAAGGCCATCGAAAATTGATAGAAACTTGAGGAGTTGTGCATTGTGTTGTTTTTCCCACATGTATTTGTATTAGGTATTTTGCGATAGTTTTGTTTGACCTCGACCTCCTTCGCATTCTTGTGTCATCGGAAAGTGGACATTTTTATGTTTTCGCCGCTTTCCATAATCATTTTCCACACTACTTATATTAGGGAAGGTAACAGTAGATACTTGCAAAATTTTCCTAAAACAACTGCTATATGAATCGTGTTGTAAATATTTTTCAGATTTTTAGCTTTATGAAGTATGAAGGCGTATAAATTTAAAAGAATTCATTCGATCCATTAACATTTATTAACGGCAATTAACGCCTAATCTGCAAACTGCGCCAATAATTTTGTTAGTAGTGGTTTACGTCGATTAAAAATATAAAAAATTTTAAGGTCAAATTCTCAAAAAGTTTGTAACAATTTTAGTCTAATTTGGGCTACTGACGGATTCAAATTTTGTGCTTCCACGCCAAGTTAGAGCAATTGGGTATCGTTAACTTTATGCTACAATAGCCATTGCTGGTAGTGTATAATTTTCTCTTGATTTTGTGCAAATTCACTGTAATAATGTACAAACTGCACGGTTTTGGAAACTGACTATTTAGAGAATGCTATTATCAACCGATAATCTGCAATTATCGCAGTAATAAAAAAGATGACTGACAACAGTAGAAATAATTAAAACTTCGTAAACAAGCATAACTTCTATTATTAATTGCTCATGTTTTTCACTTCACAATCAGTTTAGTGCAATCTTAGATTTATTGTGATAGGTATATACACTTCAGCCCCACTACAATTCTTGACGTAAAAATGTTATTTAAACTTTGGCGGTCTACAACGTGTACCTTAACCATGAATCACGTTTTTCTGATTAGTCTTTTAATTACAAGGTAATTACGCGTTGATGTTACTGCTACCACTTGCGAATATTTGCGAACTACTTAATTTCATTAAATTTGTTGAAAGTTAAGAAGGTAGATCGACTGTTTGTTAAATTAAGCAGATTTATTCACTCACTTTTATTACTTCAAGTTAATTAGCTTTCACATAAAACTACATATTACTTTTTTTGTAGATTTACGATGAAGAACAAGAAGGACACCAGTTTCAATCTAGACGATTTTACGTCCACGTAAGTAACTTTCTACATTCATAAAAGACTCTTTACGGACAGTCGCGTATATCTAAATTGATGGCTAATTTTCACTTTCCGGATAATTGAACGAACTTTAGTTTAAATTGAATAGCGTTCAGTAACAAATTTTTACACTATATACAAGGTGATTATCTGTAAAATCTGTAATTACAAACAATTTCTCATTCCAAGGTACGAGGTATTATTAAAACGTAATTCCTGTAAGAACAGTTAGATTAAGATCTCATTCAGATATACAAAAGAAACTACTTACTTTGAATTAAATACTATCAACATTAGATACTATAATAGACTTTTGAATATTTTTGCTTTCCGGGTGTGGGCACATTCTGATCTCGGCGAACTTTGGGTATCTTTGATCGTGTATCAAATAAGGAATTGATCAGACAATGAAAATTAGTTCAACGCCTTGGAAATGGATATAGATGTAGATGAACCCCGTTGCAGACCTAAACTCGATTTTAGGCAGACTCAAAAACCTTTAGATAAAACGGATCCACGACAAGATTTACGTAACATTATCCTTTTAAGTTGTATGCAAAAGACACATGAAGAGTTCGCAAATTTTGAGAAATTCTGACAATCTTTCTCAACAGAATTTCAAGAATTAAATATTCTTCACGTTACAGTTGCGGAGATAAATTGTATCGAATACGCATTTTGGGACTTCTGGGTGCAAATGTTTTCAATTTCATAGGTTGCACTAAAACCAAAGCGAACCTACTTATCAATAATTTATAAAACCGTAACTATCTTATGATAATCGTCATGTGTTACAATTTGATTAGGTACTATGAAGTACTCGTTTATCAATAAGCGTTTTTTTTTGCATTTCATAGTAATAGATAATGAGAATGATTTATTTAGGCAGTTCAAAATATCTATTTGACAGCATCCACACTAATAACCATTGAATATTCAATGTTAATAACAAGAAATAACGTGTATTGATGTATTGATGTTTTGCGAAAGCGTACCTAGTACAGTGTACAAATCTGTATCGGTAATTTGTGACCTCAGAATCAGGTATCTGTATCTGTTAAATCATAATCGACAGTTTGTCTCGTTTCAATAAACAAAATTAGCCCTTGATTTTTATACCTTATTTTCAAAAGCCTACAAGCCGACCTCTCTCATTACAGACCTCTTTTATTGCAGACATTGTGAGAACCTATAAGGGCACAGTAGGTTCAAAGGATGCTGCCCGCAGTATCTTGGTTAGTGGGACTTATTCTTGAATAAAAAGACGTCTTTTGAATATGCGAATACTAGAACATGCACGAGTCAAGCCACCCTAACGATAGATACACAATCAAAAGTGCCAAAGCGGTGACATTGCATTTGATATGGTACTGACTAAGCTCAGTTTGAATTTCTTGCAATTTGGTTCATAACTAACGGAGATGTCAAAAGGGCCTTCCTTTTTTTGCCTGCATTGAAAATTAACGAAGCATAAGCGTATCGATTAAAAACTTGACGCTAAAATGCATTGTCAACGAAACCTGAAAGAAGCTCGTTCTATACCAACAAACAGTTGGCGGACCGGGGGTTGCATTTTATTCGCAATTAAATGTAGGGGAAAGTGGGGGAATACCGCGCACGGGGTAATACCGCGCATCAATGTTACAACCCACTGGTGAATAAATCTACAGATATCCATGCATAGACATCTAACGAATAACATGTCAACTAACATACATTATAGCAGTTCCCGCCAAAATGGCTCATTGCTCACCAGTTGGGTTTAACACGTGAAGCGTGTATTTTCTCTAATATTGTGCGTCCCTAAAATAAGCAAAGTAAGTCAATTTTTTTTACTTACACAGACTAGGTTAATTTACCTGAATACTTCATCTTTTGGGCTTCCATTTGCACCTTACCTCATGTCATTTGATTGTTTACTTTTTTTTATATCCGTCAATTTTTACAGTATGTACCGGTGGGGTAATACCGCGCATGATGTAAATTTGTGCGCGGTTTTACCCCGCATTGTTTCTTATAGCAAAATAGTATCTTTTTATCTACACATCTTTTTTAATTATTATTGGTACTTAGATGCCACGAAACTATGTACGAAAAACTGAAAGGAAGTCTTGGAGCTCCGACAGCCTTAAAAAGGCCCTAGAGGCAATTAACGGAGGATCGTCAATTCGCAAAGCTGGACGAGACTTCAACATTCCCGAATCCACGCTACGTGATCAGATGAAACTAGCATCTCCCAGCGTAAGTTTAGGCAGAAAAGGTATATTTACTCCCCAACAAGAGCAAGAAATAGTAAATCATGTGATAAAACTAGCAAACCTTTTTTATGGTGTAACGCCCATGAGCCTTAGAAAAATTGCTTTTGATTTTGCTGTAAAAAATAATATAAAGCATAATTTTAATAATCAAAAACAATTGGCTGGCAAGGATTGGCTGTACCTTTTTATTAAGAGGAACCCTAAAATAAGTCTTCGGCAACCTGAGGGCACCAGTATTAATCGCATTACTTCTTTTAATGCTGATGAAGTAAAACGATTTTTTTCTCATCTAGAACAAATTTACTCTAAATTCCATTTTGCCGCAAACAGGGTGTATAACTGCGATGAAACGGGAATCAGCAATGTACCTAATAAAAGTGGTAAAATTTATGCTGCTCGAGGGTCAAAGCAGGTTGGAGTTGCCACCTCTGGCGAGCGAGGTAGAAATGTTACAGTTATGTGCTGTATGAATGCGGCTGGCGGATATATACCACCAATGTTCATCTATCCTCGTAAGCGTATGAGTGCTAGTTTGGAAACAGGGGGGCCAGTAGGTGCCATTTATCACTGCTCAGACAATGGGTGGATTAATCAAGATTTGTTTCTCACCTGGCTGGAGCACTTTAAGAAACATGCAAAACCATCTTTGGATGATCCAGTTTTGTTAGTGTGTGACAATCATGGGAGTCACATTTCTATAGCCATGCACGATTTTTGCAAAAAGAACCACATTCATGTCGTGTCGCTTCCCCCTCACACATCCCATAGAACGCAACCATTAGATGTGTCCTTTTACAGTCCACTGAAAAATGCATTTTACCGGGAATGTGATCTCCACCTAAAGCTGACAGGTCATGAAAAAATAAACATGTCTGAGCTAGCTAATTTATTTAATAAAGCATATGTCAGAGTGGCAACGATGGAAAAGGCGGAATCTGGCTTTCGCTGTACCGGAATCTTCCCTTTAAATGTGGATAGATTTACAGCTGATGATTTTGCCCCAGCTGAGCAGCATCGTAACATTTCTATCGCATGTAACCTAGACGAAAGTGACGTTCAAAAAAATCCTCAAGTAACAGAAGCCAATGTAACATCAATTGAAGACACAATGACCAGTGTACCATCAAATTCAGAAAGAAAAGATACACAACCAAGTACATCAACAGGTACAAATTGTGAAAAAAACCTAAGTGCAGCATTAGTGAGCATTGAAAATATAGCACCTATTCCAAAAAAAGTCCGTAGAAATATTAAAAAAAGGTGGTCCTAAAAAACAGCATTCGCAAATTCTAACAAGTACCCCTATAAAGGTTCAACTAACTCCTTGAAGATCAAAAAAAGAGAGAATCAAAAGCAGCAAAAGCAGCTGGAAAAAAAGAAGCAAGCAAGCTTAAGCCAAAGAAAGTTACACAGAGACCTAAAAAAGTGATGGAAAGTGATACCGAGACTGAAGAGTCGGACACTGATATGTTAGACGTTGTTGATGATGATGATGTGGAGCTTGACGATGAAAATATGTATGATGAAAATGAGTGTTTAATTTGTGGAGAATTTGGGCGTAACCAGGAGCTGTGGTTCAGATGCGTGGTATGTGGAAGATGGGCGCACCAGGAATGTAGCGGTTGGGATACGGCGGAAGATTTTACCTGCGACTTTTGTTATAAACGTAGAGGAAAGAGAGTATTAGAATTTTGAATTTCAAATGTAGATACCTACTAATGGTTTGTAAAAGTTTATTTTTTAATTCATTAAAGGCATAAATACATCAGTTGTTCTAATTGTTTTATTGCGCGGTATTACCCCACTCTCCGCGCGGAATTACCCCGCAGGGTGGGGAATACCGCGCAAGTGCAATATCTTGAAAATAAAAATATTTCTCAGAGATCGAAAAAGATAAAAATGTTTAAAAAATTTCCCATACGACCTTTATGAAATGCTTAATATGAAACGTCAGTATCAGTTTTTTAAACCTTCTTTTTGTGGGTGTAATTAACAATTTTCCTTAGGTGCGCGGTATTCCCCCACCTTCCCCTACACATTTTTATCACAATCAATAAAAAAACCAAAAATATTTTAGGCACCTTAAAGGCTACAATCCTCGCAATGGATAATTGCTGTCCAGTGACAACATAAGGTCCGTCGCCCCCTCCCTATAATTTTTGAACAACAGTGCTACATGAGACAGTTCTTTAAGTTGAAACTGACAATTACGTATGTCAAAATGACAGCTTGACATAATTTCGAGTTATTTTTTTTATTACTACTGGTCAATACACAATGTAAGATCGAAAATATAATATTTATGTAAATCTGATATTATGTAATGTCACGATTTTCTGCTTGCATAATGCGTGGAGTTTTTAATTTTCAATTCCAATTAAACTCCTTCTGTTTATCAAAGTTAGCAATTTAAATACTGGTATTGTTGGACACTAATGTAGGTGTAGGTACCAGTTGACACTCTCTCGAGGTGAAGACGTACAACACATTGCGTGCCAAAAAATAAATTTCGTGCAGGGAAAAACGGTAATAAGAAAACAGTCACGATAATAATTATTAGCTTTATAAACCTATCATTATATTCATTCATTGTAAGCTGATGAAAGTTAATACAAATTTTTCATGCATACCTTGAAATGATGACATTGATCTTTTGTCTTCGTAGAAGTAGGTGTGTTTATGTCATTACTATTCAATAGATTTAGGGCACAATGCGGAATTAAATGTATGTATCTTTACATAAAGTGATGAATCAGAGTTACCCGTAATTGAGGCACCTACGTAATTTTTTGCATAAATTTAAGTACCTAATGTAAGTTTATTTTGGCCCTTACGATATATCAGGAGCGATTAAAACAGTTCCACTGCTCCATGTTATGAATATAAGGATCGGTTTTGCTGACTAAATCTGGTTGGTTCGGAACCAAATTCCGGAAAGGTATCATCGATCCATAGAAATGTATTGATTTATATTTTTTTGTATTGATTTCTTTCTTGCGCGAGTGGACCCGGTGAATGATATTATGAAGTAATGGTCTTGTTCTAATGTTCTCAAAATGTTATTTTATTGTTATTAGAACGAACATTTAATTTATTAGGAAAATCTTTAAAAGGCAAATTAAATTTGAACTATTTCATTGTTTAATTTTTAGTAAAAGAAATGTATGTTACCGGGGCTGGCCGTGGGTCATATTCTTATCTGCAGAAAAAAAATTGAAAAATTGACAATTTTATTTCAAAGAAGGGATGGCCATTGGTCAACCCCCTTAATATTGTGACGGTAGCTTTTTATTTGGATTTTTTATATGGATTTCGATCATCGTTATCTTACGGCAAAAATGTCATTTTATCCGCTTGTGGAGTACAACAAGGTGACTCGTTAGGACCTTTGCTATTTTTTCTAATGTGCTTGGATAAACTGAAAAGCCTGCAATCTCCTTTTAAAGTTGGCACTTAACGATTGGACTTTAGGTGGTGTATTTGACACAGTTTTAGATGATATCGAATTAATAAAAAATTCAGCTATTGAATTGGAACTGCATCTAAATGTAGCAAAATGTGAAACTTTTTGTCTAGGCGGATCCGAAGAACAGAAACATCAAGCTTGCGCTCGTATCCTTCCTGCAGCCCCAGATATTCAGTTTCCAGATGTGAATTCCTTGAGTATTTCGATACTTAACAAAATGACGTTTTGAAATTGAAAGAAAAAGAATAAAGGCTTCCATAAGAAAAAACAAAGTTGATGATGGTTAACCGGAGACAAAACGTCAGACTTAAAATTTACAAGTAGCATCTTGTAGAGGGGAAAAAAGTGACCATAATAATGTGCCATTCATTTTAAAATATTTTTTTAAATAACTTCAGAAAAAAATAAAAACGATTTCGTTTTTTTCAGGATATCTCCGAAAGTAGTGGGAATTTTTTCAGTTTCAAAACGGCTCAACGCCACTTTGTCAAATTTAAACTACCTACCTATCTCCTACGTTTCTCGAAATTGAATCAGCCTATATAACTTATACCTACTCATGTGTGTTACAGTGTCATATGTGCTTCTATATCTTTAAATACTTTCACATTCAGATACCTACTCTATATACGTGTCTGAAATAAATTACCTACGTATTTTCTGTATGGGTATTTACCTTTCGAAATTACCTCAACTTATTTTAAACGTCAAATACAATAAAATGTTTTTTTTACATTTTGAATAAATGTTCATCAAAATGACTTTTTTGTGGGTGCAATTGTCCGAACTTCATTAAGAATAGTGACGTCACCATTACGACAAATATTTTGAAGACGCAACAAACTATTCCACTTAATGACCCTGGACGCAAGAGACCCGGACGCAGTGTTCATGATTCGAATTCTTGTCTATTATAGGTGACCATTTCATAATCAAGTACTTTCCATCAATTTGGGAAATTTGATATCGTTGCCTGTCTTGTTTTTTGTTGTTTTTAATATTTTATTATCACCCTTAAAAGCACCCTTAGTTTGGAACCTTACACTGGGTTTCTAGCAGGTTTTCAGTTTTCGGCTTAATTCTTATAATTCAAGATCAAGTGGTACATGTGCAAAACAGTATCTATATAGGAATACAATTTAACCATGCATTGAGTAACAAATGACTGGTTAAAAAGGTAATTGAAGTTAAATAACAGTTCTTACTAATTATAGTCTTAGAAAGGTGATAACTTTGCTTTCTCCTCGCGTACAAGAACTAGAATAATAAACGAAAAACAAAAAAGCGATGTTAAATTTCACTTTCGTGCATTTCTGGCAAAAAATTTACACTCCGTTTCGGTGACCAATATTTATTTTTATTAATGCCATACAAACAACCTGTTATTGACTGTTATGGCATAAAATTGTGCAAGTCCAGAATTAATTTACATACTAACCTTGTTTTTATTGTTAAAATAAATTTTTTTTTTTTTTTTTTTTTTTTTTTTTATTCTCCTTTAATTATACAATCTGCCATAGCTTATTTAGCAATAAGTATTTAATAGGATTGAATTAATTATTACAAAATGACATGTGGGGCAGAATTCCATCGAAGTCTCCCCTTACATTTTTAATATGTGATGTATGCTATGAAGATAATATAGGTATAGTATTTGACAAAAGCAGTTTACAGTTTATGTTAAAATCTTGTAGGTAAGTCAGATGGTTTGAAACGTTTAAGTCTTCTGGGTTCATCATTATTGTCCATAAGCTGGTGCACAGAATCGTTGGGGGGAACGCTCAGTCTGTCTTTGTATCTTACACTGAAGTTTTTAATTTCACTTTTCACTGTGGGAATTTGTAGATCACTTAAAATCACCTTATTTGGGACGTACCATGGCGCATCAACGATCATTCTCAGTACTTTATTTTGGAACCGGTCAAGCATTGCTAGGGTGGAAGTAGCTGCAGTACCCCATAGGGATATCCCGTAAGTCCATATTGGTTTAAGAACTATTTTGTAAATTAGTATTTTATTTTCCAATGATAGTTTAGATTTTCTACCGATAAGCCAATATAATTTTTGTAGTTGAAGGCCGAGTTGCTTACGCTTGGTAAATATGTGGGTTCTCCAGGTGAGTTTCCTATCTATATGTAGACCCAGATATTTGACCGTCTCTGAGTGTGGTAGTTGGTGTCCGTTGAAGTTCACTGGAGGGCAATTTTCTTTCCTCATTGTGTAGGTTACATGTTGGGATTTAGTTTCGTTCACTCTGATACGCCATTTTTTGGCCCACCACTGTATTTTGTTGAGGTGAGCTTGGAGATATCTTGAGGCAGCTTGTGGATTGACATGAGAGGCCAAAATGGCCATATCGTCTGCATAGGTCGCTGATGTTGTTAGACGTGATGTGGGTAGGTCAGCGGTGTATATTAAATATAGGATAGGGCCTAAAGCGCTGCCTTGCGGTACGCCGGAGGAGATGGGGTGTAAATTTGTATTTTCATCTTTGTATTTGATTAAAAAGTGCCTGTTTGTGATGTATGATTTTAGTAGTTCAAACATCTGGTAGGGTAGGAACAGTTTGAGCTTATAGCATAAACCTTGATGCCAAACTCTATCAAAGGCTTGTTTGACATCCAAGAACACTGCAGAGCAGTATCTTTTCCCTCCAAGTCTCTGTAAATCTTATCGGTTATTCTGTGTACCTGCTCCACGGTACCATGTTGTTTACGGAACCCGAATTGATGTTTAGGAATTAGTTCTTGTTCATCTAGAATTGTCATTAATCTATTCAGAATCAGTTTTTCAAGTACCTTGGACAGAATGGGTAGTAGGCTTATGGGCCTGTATGATGTAAGTTCCGTAGGTGATTTACCAGGTTTCAAAACCATAATTATTTGCGCTGTCTTCCATTGACTTGCGCCGAATATTTTGAATTTAAATTACATCATATAGCTTATAGTGAACGGAAACTTTACCGTTGTGCATCTATCCTAAAATGGGCATACGCAAATGTATCATTCGTTCTGCTGCTGTAATCATTTGACATTATAGCGACCCCAAAATGCAGCAACACATGTTTCATAGATAATTGTTACAATAAAACCATTGCATAGCTTCAGTCTTCTTATATTATTTTAATAGCTAAACCTTGTTAGTTCCTTTTTACTAGAAAAATTACGCTATACTAAGGACTTGACGATCACCATATCAACGTCCTTTCTGTGCCCTGCAATTAATAGACCTCACCTTATAGTCTTATTGAAACAGTCTGGTTTAAAATGAAAGAAAATCAGATTAAAGGGATCTGCATTTCTAAGGGGTTTCAGAATGTAGTAATAGCCTTCAGAAGTACCAGAAGCCTTTGGAGTCTAAAATCTTTCAAATTAATGAATTAGAAATCAGTGACTATCTTGGTAGCCCTATTAAAAAAAATCGCTGAACAATCCAAAAACATCATCCATCATCCAGTCGAAATATGTACATTTTGTTAATTAATAGCCCCCTCCCCCCAATCCTAAGATTGTAATAAGACGTACACTTGCGACCGCCGACCATTTAGAAAGATCAGCATTCGTTTTGGATTCAGATTGTACCTACTACAATACCTTCTTTTTTACAGGACAACGCTAGCAACAAACGAAGTTAGCGCACAAATTCCGAGCAACGGCACTTTAAAAGATGACGGCGAGTATAATCCATTCGAACACAGAATCGTCGAACATCCAACATCGTAAGTATCGCGTCGATCAGGCGAAAAGATCGCATATAATTAGAAATTTACAGAACTGTAGGATCCTTAATTCATTTATTAAAGGGTGCACTTGGTACAGGTATCTTGGCGATGCCGCACGCTTTCAAAAATGCTGGACTGTTATTGGGTTCCGTCGCCACCATCGCCATTGGAATTTTATGCACCCATTGCATTCATTTATTAGTAAGTTTTAATTCATGTGTTCATCTGCATTTCATTTAAATGTACTTACCTTCATTTAACCGCAAGGGTAGATAAAGTGAAACGCGCGATATAAAAGGATGTTCTGAACATATGACAATGCTGTTTCTATGGAAACGACCACGACGGCAGACTCTAAGCTTGCTATTTTTGACGTCTAAATTAAATTCAGATTTGTCAGAAACTTTACAATGATTTATATGGCTTCTTCTGGTGTTTTAGATTCATGAATTTAAAAAATATACTTCACATTCATATGATGATCATATAGATGCTTGCGATTTTTTATATTGTTTAAACTCTTTAGATTCTTATTATTATTCAAATTCTTCGTTTTCTATTCCAATAATTCAGATTCTAGGGACTATTCGGATTCAATTTTCGCTACATTACTTTATTTCTGTTGTTTCTTCTTTCAATTGTATTGTTACTCCTTTGATTCTTCGAATGTTTCGGATTCTTTTTAGCGCATTTCCACAAAAATAAAAAAAATGCGCTATTGTGGCCACTTTGTCCGTCCGTCCGTCCGTCCGTCCGCTCGTTTTGCGACGCTACTAGTTCTTTATCTTAAGAGATATTGTTCTACTTTTTTCGCTATTTGGTTCGTTATGGTGTCGAGTCTTGTACCAAGGAAGGAATTTTTTCTGTACCGCTTACAAAAAAAGTTATTGTAAAAAAACAAAAAACCGTTTTTTACATGTTCCATAATTTTACACTTTTGCCGTTTATTAACGATCCTAGAGATCGTTTATAATTTTGCATTGCTATCTGTCGCCTGCCGGTTGGTCTCTCCCTCTGTTCCTTTGTATGTCTGTCCATCTATCTGTTCGTGTGAACGATAACTTTGTTTAGAAATGTTCGATCCCTTTTACATCTCCGTTAGTTATGAACTGAATTGCATGAAATTTCATATGGGCATAGCTTTAGCCATATAATACGCAACGCCAAAAGTTGAATCGAATCGATTCAAAATTCACAGTGCCCTTTTCGCATCTCGACCATTTATAAACCGAATTGCAAACTTTTTTACTTATAAAAGTATTTGAATGAAATTTGATACATAGGCACTTGGAATAAAGGAAAATCAAACGCCAATTTCAAAATTTGGTTTTGCGCATGCGCAGTGCCAACTTTTTTATTTATGGAAGAATTTAAACGAAATTTGATACATAGGCACTTGGGATAAAGGAAAATCAAACGCCAATTTCAAAATTTGGTTTTGCGCATGCGCAGTGCCAACTTTTTTATTTATGGAAGAATTTAAACGAAATTTGATACATAGGCACTTGGAATAAAGGAAAATCAAACGCCAATTTCAAAATTTGGTTTTGCGCATGCGCAGTGCCAACTTTTTTATTTATGGAAGAATTTAAACGAAATTTGATACATAGGCACTTGGGATAAAGGAAAATCAAACGCCAATTTCAAAATTTGGTTTTGCGCATGCGCAGTGCCAACTTTTTTATTTATGGAAGAATTTAAACGAAATTTGATACATAGGCACTTGGGATAAAGGAAAATCAAACGCCAATTTCAAAATTTGGTTTTGCGCATGCGCAGTGCCAACTTTTTTATTTATGGAAGAATTTAAATGAAATGTGATACATAGGCACTTGGAATAAAGGAAAATCTAGCGCCAGTTTCAAAATTTTATTTTGCGCATGCGCAGTGCCAACTTTTTTATCTATGGAACCATTTAAGTGAAATTTGATACTTAGGCGCTTGGAACAAAGGAAAATCTAACATTAGTTTTAAAATTTAGGTTTGCGCATGCGCAGTTCCAACTTTCTTATTTAGAAAAGCATTGAAATGAAATTCTTCTCATAAACTGAAATTGAAGTAGCACGTCAACAATGGATTGCCCATGTGCAACGCTATCTTTCATATTTGTGGGCGGATTTTTACGATTTTAACAGAAGTTGCATCTTACAAATGGGAAATGAATGCAAGTGGAAATGCGCTTTATGTAAATCGTTTACGATTACTCTTTAACTTGCTATTTTTCGTGTCCTTCAGATTCTTTCTTTTTTTTCGAATTCACTCAATTCCAATTCAAATTCTTATATTTCTTAAATTCTTTCTGTTATTCAAGTTTATTAATTTCCATTTCCATCAGAATCGTCAAATTGTTTGGATTCCTCCTTGCATTTTTGCCCAAATAATTCCGATTCTACAAATTCTTCAGACATTTTAAATTGTAAAAAATCTTCTTCGGGACTCTTCGAATACCTCGGATGTTTAAGATTCTTCATCTTAGGTTATACGATTGTTCCGATCTTTCAGATTCTTCGGATTGTTAAAATGTTCTTTATCTTACGTTTCTAGGGGTGTTCCAGATTTTTCGAATTCTTTAATTTCTGTATGGGCAGGGTGGTTCAAATTCGCGATTCGCCATTACGAACACAGTTATGGTGAGAGATAAAGTGCAGATTAAAATTTAAAAATAATTGAGATATAACCGAAACACTTAAAATGTCAAATTTCGTTTTAATTTTCGCTAGCTTAAACGGTCGAAAATGGATTGTTCTCGATAGCACTTTTTTTGGGAGAATCTGAATTTGTTAACCAAATTCTCTCTTGAATCTATTTAAACCTTTTCTGAATTTTGTGTGTTATAATTTTGAAAAGAGAATTAGTATACAAATTTTTTAGAGTGGTATCTACAAAATATTCAATTTATAAAGATCAGGTTTACCTATGGCCCCGTATACTTATTCAGGCAGATTATTCCACAATCATTATACAAAAGCATTCATATAAAACATTTTCTCATCTCTTTTAACTAAGAAAGTATAGGGTCATTCTAAAATTGACCATCTTTTTATTTTCCCCCGTATCTTTTAAGCGTGCATTTACGTGTGGCACCTATTACTTTTTTGATAGCACTATCAATTTATACGTGTTGAAAATGGGACACCCTGTACGCATGATACCCGTACAACTCCGTCAACCCTGGATTACTGAGCGTGTTCCACATAAACCTTAATCGGGCCTTGAAAAATAAAATTATGTAAACAATCAAAATTTATAATTTAAATAAATTCAGAATACGTTTGTGATTTTGTTTCCTTCAACTTAATTATTTTTTCTCTAGGTAAGTGCCTCCCGTGATATCTGTAGAAGATCAAAGGTCCCATCACTGGGATTGGCAGAAACGTGTGGAGCGGCTTTCGACTACGGCCCGAAATGTTTACGCAAATACTCAGGTGCTGTAAAGTACGTATATATGTATGATCATAGCTGCAGAAAAATTTTGCTGAGTGCTCTGTAATCTTCTTCATATATTCTGTAACCAGCATATCACAATAGCTTAGTCTCTGTCTGCATTTTTAGAACCATTTAAAACCTAAAAATCACGTTCACCATCTGAAGGGTACCATCTGAAAGTAGACATTTCCACAACAAAAAGGTTCCCTGAATTCTTTAAAGAACTGTTTTTGAACATGGGAATTACTGCTTGTTTTGAACACAAAAAGTAAATTTTTACTAAATGCCGTGAAAAATGAATAAGTACACTGGAATAAAAAAATTTTTCAAAGTTCCGGAAAACTCGAAGTTAAAAGTACGGAACAAATGCAAAAGATCGCTCTTTCATAACGCTCTCACCTTATATAAAATTTGTCAACTTCCGGAAGGGAAACCCAGTTTTCCAGCCATCACGAGGAACTCGTACAAACTGCTCCAAAATTAAAACTTTATTCAATTACTTTCTCGACTCTCTGACGTGGTAAAAATCTGGGACACTGCTCAAACATCAAGATAAATAAGCGCGCTTCAAATGCACATAGCACGTTCCAATCAGCCGCAGTTTACTGCAACACTAACAGAAATTTTGTTGTTGTAGCATTATTGATTCAGTACTTTTACCTTTAAAGTTTTCAAACATGTGTCCCACACGCCTAAAATTCCAGTCCAAGTAGGTATTAAAACTAAAACAGAAATTTAACTTTATAGAGTGTTTGCGGACATCTCGCTGGTCGTCACTTACTTCATGGGGGTGTGCGTATACATAGTATTCATTGCAGAATCAACAGAACAGGTATTTACTTCTTGTATTACAAATGCTAGCGTTTTGAAGTGTTCGTGGTTGTCACTGGGCTAACGTAGATTAAATAGTTGTATCTTTATGACATCGCCTCTGGGAAGATACAGCTTGTGGTTCTAGTACATCGAAAATGTGATTGGAGACAGTAAAGTTTCACCACGAATACTTCGATCGTACTTGAAGATGCCAGCTTTCATTTACTCCAAAACAAATTACTTATGCATTTCAGTTAGTGAAACATTGGTTTCCAGAGTTTGAGCTGGACACGCGAATTTATAGCGCCATTACGATGATACCATTACTGCTGTCCACACAAATTCGACAACTAAAATATCTCGTGCCGTTTTCTTTCCTAGCGAACATATGCCTACTCGTCGGCTTTGGAATAACGCTATACTACGTTTTCAATGAAACGCCAGATTTGTCCAGCGTGCCGCTGTTCGAATCACTGGAGCGACTACCGACCTTTCTAAGTACCGTAATTTTCGCAATGGAAGGCGTGGGTGTGGTCATGCCCGTGGAAAACACTATGAAACATCCGCAGCGTTTTCTTGGCTGGTTTGGCGTTTTGAATGTTGCAATGGGAACGGTCGTGGTGATCTACGGCGTTATTGGATTTTTTGGATTTCTACGGTTTGGTGAAGAAACCGAAGCTAGCATTACTCTTAATTTGCCTGTCAGCGAAAGGTAAGTGCGCCAATATTAGCTTCGTAGATTTACAACGCATTTTGCAGCTTAGCGCAGAGCGTCAAGGTGCTGGTTGTCCTCGCCGTTTTCTTTACCTACAATCTTCAAACGTATGTGGCTCTCGATGTTATTTGGAAAAGGATCTTATCACCCAGAGTTCAAGGAAAAGTCAAAATTAACTTTGCGCAGATTGCAATGAGATGTTTGTTTGTTGCGGGGACCGTAATTATTGCTGTCGTTGTACGTAATTTGGAACCCATCATTACGTTAGTCGGATCAGTTTGTCTCTCAACTTTGGGAATACTTCTGCCGGCTGTTGTCGATACGGTGCTGCACTTTGACAAGCTTGGATTCCTAAAGTGGAGGCTGTTTAAAAATATCTTCCTATGCGTTTTTTCATTAGTGGCACTCGTATCGGGATTGATGATTAGTATACATAGTTTGATAAACAATTAATTGACTTATAACTAGCCTCTTTTTGTAAATTTTATGTAAATAATAGGATAGTAAATAAATTTTATAGTAATGAAGCTATTATGTACTGTCTTGTAAAAGTTAGTAGCACTTGGCTTAAGAATTCGGACCTTAATGACCTCATTTTCGTTTCTTCACTGATTTCGACCGTGCGCAAATAATGCTCATTTATATCGGACTACGCACGCGACGTTCTGGTGATCCCAAACCCAATTCCTTACTGCTATCCCCCCGGAACACCCCCCTACTTGCAATTTTTCTAAGACCACCCGCAAAATGGAGGTCACGTTAAAACGGTCTTTTTTATCATTAACCAATTTATTTCTCTTAGTCTACCGTGTAAAGGCCATCAATCAAAATCTACGGCCGTGAATAATCCTAATTTAACTGTTGAATCTAAGCCATTGATTAGAGATCGCCAAATGTATTCGAAATCTATTGAATTTTTAAACTTTGAGAATAACAACATTTTGGAGGAACCAGCCCTCTAAGGAGACCATCCTGTATGCTTCCTTATACTTATTACCTAAAAAACGCGTAACACCCTAAAAACCACTCTACACCACTTTACTTAAAAATTTAACCTTATTCAAGGACACCCGTTACACTGTGTGCAGGACAATGGCTGTTGGCCCCACTATATTCTGGATTTTGTAGCAAAATGATTCAAAAACTTACATGTTTTCAGGTACGAATGATTGTTTTCCGAGACCCAGAAGGAGAATTTGAAAAATATCGCTTGGGTTTAACGAAGTGACAACCCTTTTTGTATAGTGAGAACCATTGTGCATTTTAGCAGTACTGTCATACATATTCCGGTTTTTGTTTAGGACTTTTAATGAACTGAAGGATTGTTAAAGTCGTAGACAAATTCAAAAGCCAAATAGCATCATTGATAACAGTCAAAAAAGTCAAAAAAGTCAAAAACAAGCAAGGTTTTCGCTCCCAGTGATTTGAGAAAAACCTATAGAAGAAATAAATGCTGGCACCAATTAAACTTTTCCGACAAATAAAGAAAATATCTACCACCCTATATTTTCACAGCGAAAAACGACAGCCCGCGTCGGTAAATGTAATTGTTAAAAAATTTATAACATGCTACGGGAGTTAATTGTGATTCAATTGTGCACACTGAATCATTGCCAGTTAATTGCAAAGCTCGTAGGCAACCTCCAGACAAAGACAATATCGGCAAAAAAATTCTAGCATATAATTAAGAAAGGTTCAGTGCATATGGTAAAATAAAGGCAACTCATGTGGGCGACTACAGGCGTTTAATATACAGCACTACCGCTGATATTCCATTTCCCATACTCAAGATTTCGCGCACATTTTAGTTGAAAACAAATTGCTATAAGTTGGATTTACTGGAAGCAGATCACCAGATAAGGGTTGACGAATCACGAATTCGACAAACAGCTATCATAACTTCATTCTCAGTAAGACTGGCCAAATATGCAAACCCAGCGAAATAGGTGCCATTTTGGCGTTGACTCAGTTGAATTTTTAAGATAAGAAGATATCAAACCACTCGGAGATTAGGTAAAAGTAATCAATGAATATCCATTACCGCGATTACGCCGATTCTTAGAAATAATGGGAGACGCATTATACACCAAATTGAGCTACACAACATAACACCAGCAATTCGGTTTTTGTTGTGTTTGTAATTTTCGCTAAAACGGTTGTAGCTTTACATAAACTGCACCAATATAGACAACGAGCGACAAAGTCACTTCCGGTTGATGAATATTCCCCAAAATTTAATCAATTAGTCCCCTGACCATTGTCTACCTATTGCTAAAAAACAGAATTGGAAAATTCAAAACCGTTAGTAAGTTATGGTGTCCAAAGACAGACGGGCGGACAGAAAGTCCAAAATCATAAACTCGCTTTTTGTCGCTCGTTAATAAACGTTACTGAACTTTCTGGAACTGTTACAAATCATAATAAACTATAAAACAATGAGCGGATAAAATATGGAACAAATTCATTTAAAAATCAGGTGTTGGGTTTTAAAAAAATGCTGGCACGCCCCTATCAAAATTTTTTCTGGCGCATTTTTCGGACTAAAGTGAAAGTTTTACAGGTTGCGTCACGAAATAGATTTTGGTACCTACCACAATATTAACTGCATTTTCGAATTATTTTTATTATGCGTAGACTTTGACACAGAAATGGATTTAAAACAACCAACTGTGATACCAAAATCTACTTTTTGACGCGTGCTGTATATTTGTGTTTGTGTTTTATTCTGGTTATCTGGAAATGGTGGATGAAACTCTCTTCCTAGCAAGTATATCAAGGTCTACGGAAATTTAAAAGCACAGTAATGGAAGCTTTTAAATAATTATCGCAGAAAATATGTCGAGTACCTATCTTTATCATCAGTAGATATGTAAATATTTTGCACTGGATATCAAAATTATCCTTGTCCATACATGATAAAAGTTCATAATGATAAATTTTCTGAATTGTTTAATGGAAGAGTACTCAGTTCATCAATTTTCATTCTTGTATTCAGCAAAAAGTTTCTCGAGAAACAGCGTGTCACTCTTTTTCACTAGCTCTTTGGGTTTCCTACTGCTAGTCAATATTACATCAATGTCCAAAGTATTCTGCACACAAAGACTACAATTAAGTATAGTAGGTGTGCCAGATCAATTGATTAGGCACCTACCTCAATGACAACGTATGTGTAACCTCTCTATACCGACACTTGTGGATAGGGCTTAACCAGTTATTCAGCTTAATCCATTGTTTAAACAGATAAAATACTTCGAGGGGTTACCGGTACATTCTAATTTAATGAAGATGGAATTGATCATAACCGACAGTTACTAGTAGTGCTGAATATTATTTACTCAGAAATGCAACACATTTTTAATAAAAGTTGATTGAATAGTAAACAACAAAATTGTTGCTTGTTACATAAGCGAATTGCTTTCCAAATTAAGATTGGTGGGCAGATATCAAACCTGGAACCTGAACCATACCCCATCCGCAATCAAAACAAATTCCCCCAATAAACATTTCATAGGTTAAATCTCTTTGTACTACGTACCCATTCTGTTTGTACACTGGGATATCGAACAAAATTATCTGATTTATTTACCTACGTAATTGTTATCATCAATACCTACCTACTTAAACTTTCAGATTTACAGTAATTAATTTATTTGATCAAATTAAAAAAATGTTTACTTTCCAATGTCAATCAGGTTTCTGTACAAACAAGTCAGATTTTGTTGAGTCAATAAACTATCAAAAACGTGAGATATACTGAAATGTGCAGAAAAATTTGGAAAAATTCTAGTAATTAACCTAGTACTAACAGTCTATGGTCAAATTTCACATCACTTCCAGGCTTAGATAGAAAGAAAAGGGGCAGCGCTGAAGTGCTTCTGTATATTAACAAAATGTGACATAAATTCATCAGTGTTTTCTCTTTTTCTACCCCTTCCGCCACTTCTTTTAAAAATTTGATTTCACGACATTTTTATATTACCTACCTTCCATCTCGTCCATAAACCGTTTTTAATGATTCTATTTTTTTATTTTCAGTAATTTATAATGTTTAATTACGGTAGAACCCCATTTTCATTCATATTTGTCCTTTTGTGCGGTTTGTGTTTCAATTTCTTTCAAATGCATCGATGATTCTGCAATTTCTTGTTTCCAATTTCACTTTTCATTTCTTCTTTTGTCTCAATGGATCTCCATTTGCACAATTCTTCTATTTTCGGAGCATTGTTCTTTGCTCTATCATACTTTACTCTTTTTTTCTATTAAAATCTCTCTCTATTCTTGTATCGAATGCTCTTACCGAAAAAACTCCACAATGGATATCGTTATATAAATGTCACAGTATAAAAATGTAGCCTGGTTGAATTGGTTTTCCAAATAAATGACATTTTTGGTGGAAATTCAAAAAATAAATGTTTCAACCGCGATACAAACGTGGTGCGTTTTCTTTGCGTTCTATGGACATTGTTTCTTAATGGGTTTCGAAAGCCTCTCGAGCCGAAATGTGTGAACTATTTATTAAAAAAAAGTCAAAATTTTGTTTCAAGAAGAGACGCCTGTTGCAAGGAGTCTAATAAAAATCACTGAAGAATCATTGCGGAAATCTTTCCCCCATCTTCATTTTAAAATGTGCGAGAGATTAGCCGAAACTTTTGACAATCCGACATACAATACTTATCCCATTTCCTAACTTTATTGTCTTAACTTAAGGGACGAAGGTGGATGTGCACCCTTTCCGGGAAATATGATGTTCTAGAATCTAGAGGTTTTTGTTTATTGTATAGACAAATTAAATCGTGTTTAATTTAACGCCATCCAGCATCGACGTCGAAGTGATAAATACCGACATTTGTGCTCGTGTGTTATACATCTACATGTTATAATTTTGGGTACAATTGGGTAATAAATAATAACTAACTGTTATAAATCTATTTCCGGAATGTTATAGATGCAATCGTACAATTGTCAACTTCCTTTTTTAGAAATCTGGCCTCTCGGAGGCATTATTACAAATTCAGTATCATAGTTGGCGGACGGACCTGTTAATTTATTTCGAGTGTCCAATTAAATTAAAAATTCGAATGTCCAATTAAGCGCGTTGTCAGTCATAATTAAACTTACATTGCCAACTATGACGCTAGATTCTTTGATACGCTGGATATATTACTTTTTTTATTCCTCCCTGAATCCTGAATTTCTTCACTTACCATATCACCCTTATTGTCGGTTACTTTTGGTTATCATTCTCATCTCTTCCGTATCTCCATCAGTGTTTATTATTACGACTTTACTCTTCAGAAACATCACTCGATTATTTCTGCGCTTTCTGTTTCTGAAGAATTCCACCTCCTGTTAAAATTGAATAATTCTAATTCAGTCAGTAGGCTAGAAAATTGGGGACTAAATATTAAGGTAATGAAATTTAATATGTGACCATGAGAATATAAAATAGCGAAATAACCTTGCAGGAAGATCCTAAAAAGCGATACACTGACTATCCTTTGTACCCAACTGTTTTGTTTCGTATTGTATTG